TATTCTGACGAAAAATGAACTTGCATGGAGGAATACTAATTGTAAGAAGTACACGTAGGAAGAGAGTCTAAGTGTGTCTCAACATTCAAAAGATTAAACGAGTAGCTTGAAGCGCACCCGACGATAAAAGTTTCGTAATTTTATGCAATTATACCGCAATCACTAATTTGAACGGGGAATTTGTGAGCACGGGGGATTGTAACGTTTCCAAAACGATGAAATTTTAAACGCGAGGGTGGATCGCTTCTGTAATGGGATAACGGGAACCGATGGGAGGATATAAAGACGTAGCTTACCCGCGGGGAACATCAACCCTCGTTCGTGAAAGCCAATCGAGCACGAACAACCACCCTAATCGCGGAGCGCCATTGGCTCGGGGTTACCCCAATTCTATTACACCTTCTGTCATGGCCATTTATAGCGTTTAATCGACCAGACCGGGTCGTAATATGGCGGCGATAAACCCCCGGTTGGGCCATACACATGCCATCTCATCCCCCACCGAGATGTTTCTATCGTTAAATAGAAAAGTCGACATTTGAAGTTTCGGAGGTAAATGCGAGCGCGCGAACGTTCTAATATCTTAAGTCACATTTGATACTTGCATCGTGATATTAAAAAAAGAAAGCAACTTTTACAAAGAGACAAATTAGTCAAGGATTTTCTAAATTAGGCAATAAATTTGACCAAGATAGTACTGCATTTTAACTTAATAGCTTTGTTAGATTTTATAATATTCAACGCTGCGCGTGATTGTGGAATAGCTTTGTTAAACTACGCAGTCTCTTCGTCGTGAAAACAAAACTGTTCGGTATCAGCGTAGCGATAAATATATATTTGATAGCAAGTTTCTAAAATGTTAAAATAATATCATCAGCCAATCGCATAATTCGATCCTCTAGCTTAAACTAAATATTCTTTTATCATATTTGACAGTAATTATTACAGTAAAAACGACTTTAAAACAGTTTTACTCGCTGTACCGCGGTGTTGTTAAGTTAACTACTTGAGCCCGCTTATCTATGCATCTGCACGGTGGGTAATTATTTATACCCACTTTTAAATATTTACCTACAAAGTACGCAAGAGTACGCTAATAATGCCCGTGCGGCATTAATGTGGCGATAATTATACGGCTCTGTCCTCTTTCCTAACGTCGATGACAAAGTAAACTGAAAAAAAAATGGACAATTATGTGCGGAAACTATTTTGAACAGTAATAACGGCACGTGCCAATGTTCCATCTCTATTTCTTTTCGCGTATGGATTAATCCGTTATATTTGTCTACGATGCAAAAGTCTACCCAGAAATCCGACAAGTTTCAGCTAATAATGGTAACAATTTCTCTCCTGTAATGATTTTTTTTTTAAGTGCGTGCCACATGTCTACTGCCGAGCTGAATTCGTTAACTCGTTGATGCGCCGCGACTACACTGGATTAGCAATTCTTATTCTGCACGCGGTTATCTGTATGCAACATAATTCGTTTTACGTGTCTCGTAAACTTGATCGGACCCTCGTGATCGGCCTATGAGACTGACAATGTACACAGATACATGTTGAAGATTAAAGAAATCGCGGTGTGTGAGCATAGCGAAAGGCGAGCAAGACCGAATGCAAAATGAGACACGCATCCCAGTTTCTCAGATAAAGAATGTTGCAATTACACAAACAAACTGTGCGCGCACATAACGTCCGATAATGAAGACATATAAATATATATTCTTGTGATAAACTAAATAATCTAACGCCTTATACGTCGAATTTTTCAGCTGCGCCGACCATAGATCGCGTGATACTTGTCGGCCAATTCTTCTCTGGCAATTAATATCGCTCCTAAATATTGCGTTACGCGTGCACGTAATTTGTTAATCAATGATCCATCTTGTTAATTATCCGATAACAAGCCGATAGCTCATGGAGCCGCGGAGAAAATGAGATTCCGTTATCGCGCGAGCTCGTTTCGCTTTATCGGCCAACGACTAAATGGTAATTCACTATTTATTCGTCGCAAGAAAGTCGAGTAATGCGCGTTATCGTAGCCGGGCAGGTATTTTGCATATCGGCCAACTAGAAACTCGGCCGTGGCGCGATGCAGCACGCGCGGCAGCGTTTTCTCCGTTATTCCGCTTATACCGCTTCTTCCGCTGGCCGTGCTTCAACTGTGCGGATGCAGCCTGCGATGCTGCGGCAGCGTCGAAATGTCGAAAACGTCTCGACTTGCAGGGACACATCTTAAGATAGGAGGGGCCGTAATCGTTTACTCGCAAGCGTGCCGCTCGATAAACAAATAACTTGAATCACTTCGATTTAAATATCGAATTTAATTATCATATCTTTGTAGATTAGACTACTTTTTTTTAACGTAGTTCCTGTACACGGGGAGAATCTTCTTTTAAAATTTATCCTGAAAATCATGTAATCGTGGAAACATTTTATGAGTTTCTAAAAACTCTCATAAAGTTGTTCCAAATGCCATGTCCTACTCTCACACGATTGTCCGGATAAATTTTAAGAGACACATCTCTCCGTGTAGGGCTAGATAGAGTTGATCCCTCCTAAATTATATTCTGCAATAAATGTGACAATTCGAACTTCATTTATCTGAATATGAAAAGATTATTAATCGCATAGGAAGCTGGACTCTAAAGTAATGCCAAACGAGCGATGGGAATTATCCTTTTCCAAAATTCTCTGCGATTTAGGAATAACTTGCGGGGAAAAGGGGCTTACGAGAGTGATGTAATAATTCGCCCCAGATCTCTAATTGGGCATCGTTTCAATCACGTATTTATCTACACCGTCGATACGTGTCGGCAGTAACGACAGCGATACAGTTTTTGCTAGATCCATGGGCGGACTAATTTCGAGTTAATCGCCGTCTTATCGCGATCTACCGACTTTAAATGCGCCTTAATTAACTCCGCCGCTCTTATAAGGGCGGCCGGTTTTTGCTGAATCTCTGGCACAAAAGGCACTCGTGGGGAAAAAGTAAACCCTGGGACTGCGGTTTCTCAAGCCCCCGGAATGTCGTGCGGCCTTTGATCGAGGAGGTAACTGATCGTCCTGCGAAAACCCGATGTCACGATCGATCTTTTGTTTTCCCGGTGTTTCTTTCCGTGGAATTTAATGAAAACATTCGCACGTTTCCTCGAACTAATTTCTTAGGTGTTATTATACGCGGGACTTTTTATGAATTGTCTCAGAAATTATTAAATTATAATGTTTTACGAGTCACAAACAGGTCGGCAAAGATCTCTTGCTACCTATGTGTCGTATTAGTTACATTTTTGTCTATCTGATATTGCATTTTGTCTATTAAAATATACATATATGCCGCGCTTAGATCATTGATAGGTTTCCGATTTCTACAACCAGAAAAATTAGATCTCGTTACTTTTTTTAGAACCGCACGAAACGCGGATTCTTTCCCAATCGCAAACTTCACACTCGATTTGCGTGTAAACACATACGAGACTATCGCTCAAAATTATTCCCATATATCGCTGTAATTAAGGATTCCGAAGCACCATATAATCAACGCGCAGAATGGATTTTTTATGCGACAACAAATTACATAGATCTACTAATAATTACACTTCCAACTTAATCAACGCAATAATTAACTTGTCTACCAGATGGCCTTAGAATATGATATACCTGTCGTCTATCATAAATACAGTCGTTTATTTCTTGTGAAGCAACAAAGTTCCTGTTTTGTCTGCCGTATGTTTATCCATATTTTTATAAATTATTCGCTTTCGTATAACATTTTGGAAAATTACTGTCACTCATTATTACATTTTTGATAATACATAAACGTCAGAATTTGTATTACGATTATCATAAGATGGTGTGACAATTTTTCTTCTCGCTCCTTGAGCGAACTATGTGTAAAAAAAAACTGAAGAAAAGATTAAACAAAGTAAAAGAAATGTCGCAAGAAATAATTCAGAGATTTAGTTCAATTAGGCGTAGTCTCGTGAACAACAGTTTTTGACACTGCAGGTGCCAAGGGTTCACAAGAATACACCTTAGTAGTGATCTCTGCGAACTTCACAGTAGAAATGTGTCGCATAAAGATATTTATTTATTCGAGACAAGTGCACGGAAAGACCGGCTAAGGCAAAAACAACTAAAATGAAAATGTAGCCGTATAAATAGTAGGGGCATCTACATTGTTTTGCGTTGCAACATTCACCAATACCGAATTCGGTTGCTTGCACTAGTGCATACTGAGGCTTGTTTACAGTCAATTCTTTATTTAAGGATCGTCTTAAATATCCCTTGAAATATTTCCTAACCGGTAAAATGATCTGTATAGCATCCATACGGATCATTTTTTTTAGCTAAATACTCTTTGAGAACGTATTTGAGACAAAGTTAAATGTAAAAATTATAAACAGGCCTTGGTGTGCACTCATTGTCAGTGCGCACACAATTGGAAAATTTGTGTTTTGTCGTTAAAGCAAATGCCGGTTAAAATTTTTGCGTTACAAGTTTAACACATTCATGTGTTAATTTAACATATTGCTCTCGTGTTAATTGACCTCAAATGTAAAATTATAATATTAAAATACTCGAATAGCAATGTTAAAACAACACAATGTGTACTTATTTTTTGATCTTACTTTAAAAAAATAAAAAGATTAAAAAAATTTTGTGGACCGTTTGGGACATGTGATATCTGTTAAATTTAACACAATTTTTTCAACTGTGCACTGGTGCAAGCAACCGAATTCGCTATATAAGTTTGCTGCACAAAACGCATATAGTTGTCTCCACTACTTATCATACCAATGTGGGTGTGACAACCACAGATATAGCTGTCCCAAATATTACTATTTATTGGGGCTGTGCCACCCCTAATTAGACATGTGGTAACCATATCGGTCTCCCCGTGTGTAGAAAGTATCTCGACAGCTCCGAAACGCGAAATCGCGGATGTAATTGATCGTTTTAATCGGCGAGCGATTCAAATGGATCGTCTAAAGACTCACTTGGCGGGCATTCGTCGTCCTGCGCAAGGATCTCCGTCTCCTCGTCGCCGACGAGGCTGCGAATGCTTAAGACGCTCTTCGCTACTCTGGTCTTCTGTAGATCGCCGACGCCTTCCACGGCCCTTCTGGGTGTCGTGCTGAGATCCATCGTTGATACTCGCGCTATTTTCGTCAACGGGAGCGAACGGGGAAAAGAATCGACATCTCACGGTTCACGTCCTCTCACCGCACGCACCGAGATCGTGCCGTCTCCGACGTTGTCGTTCGCTTCTTGGGCATCGTGACCTCATTAACGAATAACAAGCGAATGTCGTTCGAGAGAAAGAGTTTTCCTCGCACTCGCTAGTCTCCTCAACTTTGCCCGAGATCGACGATATACATTTAATGCGCGATACTCGATACAGTACTTGGTACTCTAATCTGCAGCTCCAATTGGACGGACTCGATAAAATCTCAGGTCATTTCAGTGCATCATCCTCCGCGTACACGTACTTTTATCTTCTTGTAAAATATTAGTTATGTCTTTTCTCGTTTCCCTCTTTCCTTCAGCATCAACGAGAACTAACTCGGCCTCGATCGCCGTCAACTTCCTGTCAACTTTGACAAACTCCGTTTAAGCCCAAGTCCGTCATGCGTGCTCCACTTTGTGGAACTTAATTTTCAAAGAGAGCACGCGTTTGCCTGCCGCTTATCTTCTTATTCGGGTTGTAACGCACGTCGCAGATATGCGGTGCCACAGATAGCAGATCGTCGTCAGCTCGCGATATCACCGCGAATTCGACGACAGCTCAGTTTCGAGCCGAACAGTTTTTCCGATACAATGATCACGTATCACGCGTTATCGATTGCACCTTTTTTTCCTGCTCGTGGTCCCGGAGCTCGTTTATCTCGAGTGTCCGACGACTGCGTCTTCAAGCGTCGCGCTGACGTTTCCCGCGCTCGCGCTACCACCTGGCAAATCGTCTCCTCGTCCTCGCCGATCGTCCTCTTGGATCGAGTCGATGATCGCTTCGCACTTTCGCTTCCGGGCGAGAATGATCGTTCTCCTCGTCCGAGAATATCTCCGGATGGAGCATTGAGTCGACGTGTTATCGATACCGGAAGCGTGCTATCGCGTTAATCATTATCAGGAGCGATACTGATCGCGGATCGTCACTTCGCGCAAAAGCTGCTCCTGCCGGGCCTGTAAACACGCTCACGCACACACGCACGCACCCGGAAGGATCGATGAACTCTTTCACGGTTCACGTCGTCCAACTTTCGGCCGTCCTTGCTGCGCTTGCGAATCGCGGCGCCTGATTCGATCTTCCTTCTGTTTTCGCGAGACCACGAGACCAGTTTTTTTTTTAAGTCCAGTGAGCCTCTGGAGCGAGAGGGGGGGATTCGCCGTAAATCGATCGAAGCGGACCCTCACGCGATCGTTTCCGATTTTCGATCAGCTGACGCTTGACACGTGATGACAGAAGACAACGGAACGTTGGGGATCTTGTCCTCCAGCACTGTGTGGAGCGACAGTTTCAGGAATCTGAGATTTCTCTTACGGAAACACATGAAAATTGCTAAACTCGAAACTCCGGCGTCCAGCGATTGTATGAGGCTATCTAAATATTATAAATGGATGGAGCGCGTTGATTCTCTATTGTACAAATTGCTATTAATTGCTGCTAAGTGTGGTGCGTCCAGTGTTAACGACTGCAATACATCAAGCATGTGTCTCTTTGCGCGTCCAACTGTCGCACGAAGTGCCGAAAGATCATTCGACGACTCGTTATCGTCTCATTAAGTAAATATATGGTGTATTATAATATGGTAGTGTGGAATGCCTTGAGTGCATAAAGATACCCCGCAAATTGGGTATCTGAATTGCGGCTGGGTGGATGTTCCTTTCCAGGCTTTCCAGGATTTGGACGCATTTATCGAGTTCCTCGAGACGGAATAAATATCAGGTTTCTTAGCAAATCGGGAAACTCTTCCTTCCGGCTGTTCAGTGTAGGCTCCAATATTTATAACTGAAGGAGTGACATCACATTCTTCCACGTGTACCAAATGGTTTCTTCCGCGATAATGTAGAATCCGTGACGACTGCTCTACAAGTTGCGTAAGACAAGCTGTCGGTAGCCGCGTGAAACACACTGATTCTTCCTCGACCGGCTGTTTGCGCCACGACGTCCGTCAGCACATTTATTTAACTTCTCCAATTAGACGTCAATGTGGAAGAGCACCTGTTAACACCTAAAAAGTTCTCTCTAATTACGGCGGTACGGTTCGCAGGTACCGTGCACACGTAGGTGTCATATCCGATTAGAGTACGTTCCATATCGAAGCGATTATCCGCGTTGCGATTTGCATCACGCGCACTTTTCCGCAACTCCGACCAGCGTGCCTTCAGGCGTGTTCTACATAACGAACAGCGACTGTCACCGGACGTTCATCGGTCTCACCCGCGGTCGGACAGCCGGTTCGAGAGCGGACTTGACAGCTCCGTCATGACGGAACGAACCGTTCGAGAGAGGCGAGAACGAAGCCGTAGGCGCGCGGCACACACGCGTATCGCGAACTCCTGGCCGGCAATGTGCGCCGCCGCGTTCCCTCCACCTCGAGGAGGTCGATCGCTCGTGCTGCCCAAGGTGATACCAGGTGGTAGAGGGGAAGGTGTGGAGAACTCGTGGTCCGCCCTCGTGGTATAAAATGGAGTTGGACACGGGCTGAGTGCCCGCCCATCGGGATCCACCCACAGCCGCGACGAGACGAACGGGTTGACGGACCGAATCTTCTCTTCCGGAGGCTGTTCCCTCTGACGAGGAGAGATAAGTCGGCGCCTCGCGTGCGCTCGGACGTCTCGATGCGGCGTCTTGGAATAATGGTGCAAGAAAAATAATTGTCGATTTTATCGAGGCTTTGGAGGTCGTCGGGCATTTTGGAGGCTCAAATTTTACTTGTGGATTCGTTTGTGAATAAAGACGGTATGATAACGTTGTGACAGTGACCTATGGAAATACAGATTTCGACATCGAATCTTTTTAAGATGGATGCCATGAGAAAGGACTTAAGAAAGTTTAATTCGTGTCAAATTGAGCTATTGAGTGTGGTATGAATGTGAATTGAAAATTTGAAGATAATTTTTAATTTATCCTGCGCTAAAATCGGCTGAATGATAAGATGCAGATGTCTCTTTCTTTTCAAGATAAATTATATGATGACTTGCACACACGTCAAATTAAAAACTGGAGCAAATAAGTAAGCATTAGCTCATTTTGCTCTAATTGTTTTTTAATTTTTAGATTGAAAGATCTGGTTACAATTTTATTACATTAAATTTCTTACTATATTTATTATGTATCATCTCCCTCTTTCTCTCTGAAGTTTGAATATAATCAGACAATTGTATGATAAAAATACTTATAAAAAAAGACTAGAGGATCAGCTCTTAGGAATTGGAAGAGATAGTGCGATAGAAGATATTTGTATAAATGAACAAGTTCGACGAGCAATTCTCTTCGGTTTTTATATGTAGTATTTTATATGTAGTATTTATTGATTTTTAATACAATACGTAGTGCGTTTAATAATTCGCCATAATAGCCAGCCATTAGAAGCACCTCGAGCGGCGGGAGATTGCGGAGTGACAGATTTTTTTATTATGACACTAAACGCGTCCAAACACGGGATAAGAAAATATCTCAACACATGGTATAATTCTTTCAAGTCTATTATTCGCCGCAATTAAATATAATTTGATCATCTGTGCATTGTTCCATTGACGTAAAAATAATACTTATTGTTGGTCTAGAAAGAAAATAGTTCCGCGATTTTTCGCAATTTATAGACAAGTTATTTTTCAACCGTGCATAATGTATGTAAGAACGATTTACGTAGGTCGCGAGAACAGGTTGAAAATCGTAAGGGAATAAATGTGAGGGTAATAAAAATGCAAATACATCTGAAAGAGAACACATTCGATGCGGGTCCGCTAATGATACTGCCCTTTGAGGCGCTTCGCATCGCTGAATTTTTAACGGCAGACTCTCCGCTCTGCGCAATCCGACGAACACAATTAATCTGGGTGAGTAATACAATTCCGCAGTGACACGTCGCTTTACAGATCCCTACATGACTACGATCAACGCAAAAGAATCTCGAACGAATCGAAATAGGGAGAAAGGACGACGCGCGTCCACTGTGTATCGCAAACGCGCGAATGTAATATCTAACGAGGTTCGAGGACGAGCTGTATTACCGTATAACGAAGTCGTAATTTTGTATTCTATAATAATACTCTCCTGATGCAGAAAGAGATCAAAGAAACAAACATGCATTATTTTCACCTGAATAACAATTAGAAAAAATGATCAACTCCGTTTCGCCTCTGTACGTACGGACGTAAATTTTAAAGGAATATTATAATTGGAAGCAATATGTCGCTATGCCCTTTGGCAGCGATCAGATTGAAAGATCTGGTTACAATTTCATTACATTAAATTTCTTATTATTAAATAAGAATATTGTCTATTTTATTAAAATGTATACTGTAAAAAATCAAAGATCTGTGTGTTTCTCTGTAAAAACGAGATATAAAATTGATGATTCTGCACAGAGAACAGGTTGCCTGGAATACAGTCTAACGAATTAAATTCGTATTGTATTCCTGCGAAATATTACACAGCTCTGACATCGGTAACCAAAGACTAAAGAAAATTCGACGTGATTCAGTCGCCACGAAACCGAAGGTATGTTTCTGCTGTCAGAGAAGTACCCAAGAGGAAGACTAATAAAGATATGGGGAAGAATAGAGACGTGGAGAAAGAAAGGTGGGAGAGGATTATAAGCAAAAGTACCAAATAAATATGAATGGAACTGCACGGACTCCGGTAATCAGATTAACTGAGCTCGCAACGTAACTCGAAGCCATAACGCAAACTAAGCGTAAGCACAGCGCATTGAATAATGAAAGACAAAGAAGGTGGGCAAGTGAATCTCGAGTTGTCGCAACGTAAACAGATCCAGTACTGTTATCGCCGGCATTTTGACAAAGCGGGAAAATACGCGCAACTATACGCTATGATCACAAAGAAAAATTGGTGTCATCATCTCGTCGGAGTCACCAGAAATTTTATCTCTAAACGAAAACCAAGGCGAGAATCTCTTCCT